AACAATTCTTTACGCATTCTTAGTGATTTTAATCGTTTCTTAAAAAACTATATCGATTAAAACCATTGTTAAGAAGGTTCTTTGTCAAAATGCTTTTGTTTGATTTGTTTAAAACTATTTTTGAGGCATTTTGCAAATGAGTGAAGGAGCTTCATGCAGTGGACAAGGTAAAATGGTTTTACCTAAGCTTTCTGTTAAGACACACTAAGTCTTCAGCTCCATTCTTCTGAGTGACTTGTTTGACTGTTGCAGAGTTGACCTTTGACTTTATCTTTGACTTCATCAAATCACTGAGATCTTTGCTAGGATCACTTTCATTTCGATGGATCGAGTACATCAGACAAGTCAGAGGTAGGAATTATTATTATTTTGCCAAGTAATATCCCGACCAAATTATTATTTGAAATTAAACCCACTTGCTCGAATAATGAAGCTGAATATGAAGTTTTGGTTGTGGGTCTCGAGACTTTGATTAAGTTAAAAGCTCGACATGTAATTGTACGGGGTGATTCACAATTAGTGATCAAACAAGTACGAAAAGAATACAAATGTATTAATACTAATCTATTCATATACTTAGAAAAAGTAATTACTTTGAGTAAAATTTTTGATGACATAACGTTCGAATATGTTCCTCGAGAATTTAATTGAGAAGCTAATGATTTAGCGCAAATAGCATCTAAGTATAAAATTTCTCTGAAAAATTTACAAATGATGATTCAAATCAAAGAGATATTACCCCAAGAAAGGGAAATTTTACAAATTAAATACTTAGATGATCAGGATTGGAGAAAATCGATTATAGAGTATTTGCAAAATCCAAATGGGAGAATCGATAAGAAAATAAAATATCGAGCAGTAAAATATGTGTTGTTCAATGATGAATTGTATAAAAGAGGCATTGATGGAGTATTGCTTAGATGTTTAGGAAATGACGATGCTTATTTGGCAATGGTGGAAGTACATAATGGAATATGTGGTGCACATATGGTAGGTCAAAAAATGAGATGGACATTAATTCGACAAGGATATTATTGACCTTCGATTTTAAAAGATTGTATCGAATATGGTAAGTCTTGTGAAGAGTGTCAGAAGTTTAGTCCTATACAACAAGTCCCTGCTAGCGAACTTCACTCTATTATCAAACATTGACCTTTCAGAGGTTGGGCAATCGATTTAATTGGTCAAATTTTTCCACAGTCATCGAGAGGACATAGATATATAATAGTAGCTGTCGATTATTTTTCAAAATGGGTAGAAACAATCCCGTTAAAATATGTCGATCAACAAGATGTGATTGATTTCATTGAAGAATATATTGTTTATCGATTTGGAGTACCACAGTTTATTACTACTGATAGAGGGTTAGTTTTTTCTGGTAAGAAGATGGTTAAATATGCCGAATCGAGGAATATTCAGTTATTAGTATCGACTCCATATTATGTTCAGGCTAATGGACAGGTTGAAACAATTAATAAAATAATTATTGGTTTAATCAAGAAACATATCGGTAACAAACCGAAGACTTGGCATGAAACATTATTACAGATTTTATGGGCCTATCGAAATTCGCCGAAAGATTTCCTACAGAATACAAAACAAAATGATTTACCTAGCTGCGATTAATGGAATTTGATGTATGATGAGTTAAATGAACTTGATGAGATAAGATTGCAAGTGTTAAATAATATTATTCTACAAAAAAAAGTCAAATTGCTCGAGTTTATAATAAGAAAGTTCAACAAAAAATATTTAGAGAAGGTGATTTAGTTTGGAAAACGATTTTGCCCATGGATAAGAAGTCTAAAAGTTATGGCAAATGGTCACTGAATTGGGAAGGACCTTTTGAAATTGTTAAAGTATTATCGGATAATGCTTATTTGATTGTTGATTGGTATAGTAAAGAGAAAGTACTATCGATAAATGGGAAGTACTTAAAAGATTATAAACCTCGAATAAGGGAAATAAACATTCACAATTGATTAAAGTATAATGTTTACACAACTTGATATTGAAGATCGGAACTGACCAAAATCTGTCAATAATTGAGTCCAAGAAGAGAGATTCGAGTTTTCTTCGGGAGTCGTCTTGTTCTTTGAGTTGTTGAAGTCCTTTTCTTCAGTTCTTCGATCTCACCTTTAGTAGCCGCTGCTACTTTAGCATCGAAGCTCTTTGGGAGACTGTCATCGGGGAATGAATCGATAGCAGTAAGGATCTATTTGATGTCACGGGCGGTTGAGATGAATGACTTGAGGGAGTGATATCATCTTCAGAAAATAGAATATCGAGAATTGAAAATGGATATTTTTCAATAGCAGTTCGATATTTTGACAAGTCTTCAGGAATATGATCATTCTGTGGAGGCAATGAAGTCGAAGTTTGTTCGATAGATGGTGTTTCTTCTTGGACTAAGGGAGATATTAGTTTATTCGACAGGGAATGTTCGGGAGTGTGTTAGGTAAGGGTAGTATGATAGTTTCGATATCGAAATTTCTGTCTGTGGGTTTTAGAGAAATTAAGTTTAAGAGGGTTGTAACATTTTTTATAAAAGTTTTCGAATCGAGATATTTGAAGATAGTGGAAGTATTTACTTTTCTTGTTTTTCGATTTATCGTGCACAAGGAGTCGATTTTTCGATTAGATTGTATCAAAGTCAGAATGACTTCTTGTAAAATTATCGATTTGGAAGACTGGTGAAGCTTGACTTAAACCAAATTGTCTCGAGAAGAGCTGAGGAGACAAGTAATATTAATGAGGGGAATAGTTTAAATTGACATGTGATAATAAAAGCAGTTATTGTATGGCTTCAAAACATTTAAAGAGTTGAGGTAGACACTTTTTGAAAGAATACAAAATTTGCACAAATGTTTTTATTCTTTTAAGGGGACATTTTGTTGGTGGGAAAAATCGAGATATGAATCGAAAGTGGATAGAAGAAATTCGATGACCATGTGTTGGGACAAATCGAGATATGAATCGAAAATGGATAGAAGAAATTCGATGATGGGGAAAATCGAGATATGAATCGAAAAGTGGATAAATCAAGATATAGATTAGAAAGTAGATAAATCGATATATGAATCGAAAGAGAATAGAGGAAATTCGATGAACATGATTGGGAGTAAAAAATCGATAATAAAATCGATAATAAATATCGAGTGTTAAGTTAAGTTTGAGGGAAGTCAGAGGTAGTTCAAGTACTCGATGTCTGGAATCGAGATCGAGGGAAACAGTTATTGTGCACATGGGAACATGGGGTAGCAGTTTCTAAACCGTTCTTAGGTGGTCAGAAGCAGTTTAAAGTACTCGATGGCTGAGGTCGAGATCGATGGAGCAGTTATCTCGCGCATGGGAACATGAGGTAGCAGTTTCTAAATCGTTCTTAGATGGTCAGAAGCAGTTTAAAGTACTCGATGACTGAGGTCGAGATCGAGGGAGCAGTTATCTCGCACATGGGAACATGGGGTAGCGGTTTCTAAACCGTTCTTAGGTGGTTATATTGAAGAAGGCTATAAATAGAACAAAGCGTGAAGAAGGAAGGGAGAATTTTTAGAGGTATCAGAAATCTATTATACAAGTCTACTGGAGAACGACGAATCATGAAATTTCTGGCAATTTGGATTTCCACTTTTATCGACTTTTATTACCGTTTTCTTTACTTTCCCTGGTAATTTATTTTTAATGCAATTTAATTTTACATGTCTGTACTTTCTAGTTATTTCAATTCCTTGTAATTTACTCTTGTGCAATTTAAAATTATGCATTACTTTTCGTCTCGATATCTTTTTCTGCTTTCTTTACTTTTCCTGATAACTTATTTACATGCAATTTAAGTTTGTGTTCTTCATTCCTGCATTTATCTTTATTTAGTTATTTTATATGAGTTTGCATGTCTCTTATTTTACATCGTCTTTCATGTTATTTCATTTACACTTAAATTTATTTCTGCTGATTTTCATATTCTCGAGTCTCTTAATAAAAAATACAAAAAAAAACTTTTGTTTTTAAGTGTTTCGCACTTAAATTTATCGCTTCATATATTTTTTATTTAAAAATTATTTGCTAGCTTAAATAAAAGGAACTTATGATGGTTAAAATTTGATTAGAACTTGTCTTTAGGAAATCGAAACAAAACCAAAATTTCACCCCAAACAAGAAGAAACAAGAAGGCATCTGTTACTAAATAAAATATATGCCAACATTCCCTTGGGTATATGAAAGGGTTTTTAGTAGCTCATTCGCTTACAGATAACTTAGAAGAAAAGGTAGAAAGAAGTCTAAAAGTTACATCGAATTCTCTTCCATATGCTTTTCTTAATATTTACCGTAGGGGAGTCACAGGTGAGGAAAGTGATACAATGATCGACCGATAATCAATTTGGCCAAAAGAGTTAATAAGAAAATAAACAAAGATAAAATTTGAGAAATATACACAATATGCCAAACATGACAAAATTTCATTCAAATAAACTTAAAATTCAAACATTGACTGTCAACCGACGACAACACAACAAAATGAGCAAAAAGCAAAAGACTAATATTTAGGTAGTGCGTAAATAGAGTTTGGGTCTAATGGAACCCAAATTTAAGTATTATTGGGCTCAGTAAATGCATAAGGACAAAAATACTAAAATTGGTTATAAAAGAGAAAGAAAAAACAGAGACATCTCCTTTTATTCCATAACATTAGCGTGCACGGGTGAAGCCGGTCAAACTTTTCCTATTCCAAGTTTCAAAATAATCAGGACACATACAATTGAAACCCTGTTGGACACAAACAAAGAGGAAACCACTCGTGCGCGACCCACCTTACCCAGTGAACCCCACCTCACCAAAACAAACCCCGCTTCTCCGGCCTGAGACTCGACGGTCTGTTACCTTCCTCTGCCACTGCTGCCGCCACTCCCGATTCAACCCTAGCCTCTGATTCCATCCCCAATCAGCCTTTCGTTATAGGAGTTTTCGGAGGTACTGCCTCCGGGAAAACCACCGTGTGCGACATGATCATTCAGCAGCTTCACGATCACCGGGTCGTCCTCGTCAATCAGGACTCGTTTTGTCGTGGACTGAGACCTGAAGAGTTGGAACATGTTCATGAATATAATTTGGATCACCCTGAGGCTTTTGACACTGAGCAGTTGTTAGAGTGCATGGGGAAACTCATTAGTGGCCAGGGCATGCATGTTCCCATTTATGACTTCAAGAAGCATCAACGTTCTTCTGATAGTTTTCGCCAGGTCAATGCATCCGATGTGATTATATTAGAGGGGATTCTTGTATTCCATGATCAGCGTGTGCGGGATCTGATGAACATGAAGATCTTTGTAGACACAGATGCTGATGTGAGGCTTGCTCGTAGAATTAGACGTGACACAGTGGAGAGGGGCAGGGATATAAACTCTGTTCTTGAACAGTATGCAAAATTTGTTAAGCCTGCATTTGATGATTTTGTTCTACCATCAAAAAAGTATGCTGATGTGATCATTCCAGGTGGAGGTGATAATCATGTTGCCATAGATTTGATTGTGCAACATATCCGTACAAAGCTTGGTCAACATGATCTATGCAAAATATATCCAAATGTCTATGTTATTCAGTCTACATTTCAGATAAGGGGGATGCATACATTGATTTGGGACCGAGACATATCAAAGCATGATTTTGTATTTTATTCAGATCGACTTATACGCCTGGTTGTTGAGCATGGTCTAGGCCATCTGCCTTTCACCGAAAAACAAGTGGTTACTCCCACAGAAGCTGTACAAAATGCAATTTCGACCTTTGTCTCATCTGCTGTCGTGAGCTTCGCAATGGGCAGCTTGTAGGTGGTGCAGATCCAATTGAGTGGGAGTTTTTCTTTAAAGGACATGGTTACTTGCATGCTCAAGAAGAAAAGGCTCAAGAAGAAAGAATAAAGGTAGAACAGAATGCATCAAATGTTGATGCTAAGCCTGAGGTTCGTGAATGGTCAAGATCTAGGTGGCATGCAGAAAATAATGGTAGCATTGCTTGTCCAAAAGTTAATGATGAATGTAACCATGGTTTTCTTGAACTGAGAACCATATTAGGCCAAAGTTTCATCACAAATATGGTGCATAGTGCGAATAAACTAGCACATGCATACAAGCTTCAAGATGCAGTTAAGACCCCTGAAAAGATGTGTTCATGTTTGAGGCATGAGAGGAACACAGATAACAGATATACAAATACGAGAAAGGTTGCTTCTCGGGAAGATTCCAATGACAACTATTTATACTGTTCTAGGGCTGTAGATTTACAAGACAAGGATTTAAGGCATTTTCAGTGGCATTGGGAAAAGGGGGAGCTTGTGATTGTCAGCAATGTGCAAAATTCATACTATGCTCGAAAACTAAGCAACGTGCCCAATCCACGTTACTTACGCAATCCGTATTATGCTCGAAAACCAAGCAACGTGTGCAATCCGCACTACGCTCAAAAACCGAGCAACGTGCGCAACCCGCACTACATACGCAATCCATACTACGCTCGAAAACTGAGCTACGTGCGCAATCCGCACTACGTGCACAATCCATACTACGCTCGAAAACCGAGCAACGTGCGCAATTCGCACTACGTGCGCAATCCGCACTACATACGCAATCCCTACTACGCTCGAAAACCGAACAACATGTGAAATGCGACCTATGTTAATCTTCGGTTAAATTTAAATACACGCAGAAACAATTTTCACACTCTATATCAAGACGACGGTCCCTATAAATATGATTTTTAAGGGTTGTTTATTCCTTTTAAGTAGTTGAACTTAACAATTATATCATGAAATATTAAGGAATGAAGTGTATTCGACGTTTATTTCGGTTATTAGTCTTTGCAATAGAAATATTTTTCTAATTTAAGACTAGGGGGTTGTGGTACGTAAATAGAATTTGGGTCTGATGGAGCCCAAATCTAAGTATTATTGGGCCTAATAGATGCGTCAGGAGAAAAATCCTAAAGGAAAATTTGGTTATAAAGGAGAAGGAAAAAAACCTAGAAACATCTAGAGACATCTCACTTTTATTCCAGGAGAAGGATTGACAACCAAAGCTTGCACCTTGTCATGATCAGCCATCACAAATGTATTGTCATCATCGGGAATGTCATTTATATGATACAAAACATCATTGTATATGTCATATTCAACATCATTAAACACAATCCCCTAACGAACGAAGTAACGTGCTTGATTGACACTTTTGTTAAAGTCTTCATTGTGCTCTTGCATAACGTATTGCTTTGTGTTTAATACTTCTTGGCGATACTTCTCCCTCTTCGCCTCCATCTCCAAAGTAATCTCAATTAATTTTTCCTCTAAGGCATGAACGTTAGCCTGCAACCCTTCTCGACAACATCAGTGTGCTCGAACTTTATATGCAATGAGTTGTTCTTGGCCCTCAAGGCAAAATACTTGGCATTCAGGTTAGCAAGCTCGACATGCAACAACGAATTAAACTCTACATTTTTCAATGAACTTGGGACTTCGAATAACTCCCCCTATATACGGGACAATTGAACTTCGATAAGTCGAAACCCAAACACTTACCAAGAACTCGAGAGTATATTTGCAACTCTATAAAAGCTTGAAGCATCTCGGCCGAACTCGAAGCTGTGTACATTTCCTTCTCCCTAGTAGACATATCTACCAAGACATTTGTGTCTCGCCAGTGATCATTGCCAATAAACTTGTTTGTGGCAAAATCAACAAACCATGAACTAGATATCTAAGTTTGCATAAGCTTCCGTGATGGAAGCAGAGAATGTTCAAAGGCCTTTTACTTTCTCTTTTTTCTTTTCCTTCCTCTTAAGCCTTCTTTAATCACTACAAAAAAAACTACTAGTAAAATCTGTAGATAATGAAAAAAATCCGTAGGTAATGTACTTGCTTAAACTTAAGAGAATTGTCACTTGAACAAAATATTTTTATTTACTATAAAAACAACTTTGTATTATATACCTAGGACCCCCTCCCCTTTATATTATATTTTTGGAACTTTGTATTGTTATAAGATAAAGAAAATTGTCATTAGCGAATTCGAACCTAGATACTCCAACCATTAAGCTATTAAAATAGTTTGATAATAACTTACAAAACAATTATATTTATATTTATTCATGTAAATATATAAATATATAAATATAAAATATATAAATATATAAATATATAAATATATAAATATATAAATATATAAATATATAAATATATAAATATATAAATATATAAATATATAAATATATAAATATATAAATATATAAATATATAAATATATAAATATATAAATATATAAATATATAAATATATAAATATATAAATATATAAATATATAAATATATAAATATATAAATATATAAATATATAAATATTATATATATTTATATATTTATATATTTATATATTTACACGAATAAATATAAATATAATTATTTTGTAAGTTATTATTAGAATATCTTAATAACTTAGTGTTTAAAGTATCAATTTTCAACTTTAAGGTACTCGAGTTCGATTCTTGCTAGTGGTAATTCTTTTAATTTAGTATAATTTACCCACGTGATGACATTACCTATGGATAAAATTTCATAGATAATATCCGTAGGTAATGTATAATTTACTTACGAATTTATATCCGTAGGTAATATTTTTTAGATAATAATTTTTTTTTAATGAATAAATACGAGGCGAAAACAAGTCACATAACGAACAAGCATTTGTCCCAATTTCTCCTTGAGTACTGATATTTTGACACCCGATTTTAAACATCCGTTCGACAACCTAATAAAAAAATATTAAATGCACAGTGTTATCGAATAAAAAAAATATTAAATGTGAAGTGTTGCGGCAGGTAGCGTCGCTCGAGCGATGTAAATTTCGCTTGAGCGACGACACTTTAGATAGCGGTTAGGAGTGAACCGCTATCTAAAGTCATATTTTCTTACATATCGCTTTCTTCAACCTCGCGCTCTTTCGTCGCGTTTTTGCCCGCTCTCTGCGCTCTCATATTCTCGCTCTCTGCATCTGTCATTCTCGCTCTCGCGCTCTCATTCTCACTGTCTGCGTCTTCTATTAAGCTAAAGGTACGTTCTTTGTATTTTCAATCTTTCTGATTCTCTTGCTCACATTGAAGCATATTACATTGTAATATATTTGTGTGTCGCCAAGTTCGCGTTCCAGTCTCCATTCGCCATTGTTGTTGTAGGACGCGCTTATTGGGAGTTAGTGCATTATATATTTTTAGGGTTTAGGGTTTAGAGTTTGTATACATTGTGATCTCGAAATTGTGTTTTCTTACTGCATGTTATTGACCCTTAGTAATGAAAATGAGTATATGCTCTCGACATAACTTTTATGATATTCATTCTTAGATGATACTCAGATTGTTGTCATGAAATACTTGTATGAATGTGCTCGACCTGTAGTAAACGTCATGACGAGTAAATAAATTTTATACTATGAACTCAAATTAAACAGGGTTACATGTATTTGCAGTTTGAAATGGAAAGCATAGACGATGGATCTTCAAATGTTAAGAAGGTGAATGTTGTATCCATTTATATAATATAGGATATTGTTGATGATAATTATAATTATTTAATGTGATTTTCGTGTATATTTGCGACATGTTTGCAGGACTAATTATTTGGGTGAAGTGAATAACATTCTTAATACAGAGCAAAGAAGTCGTATTGAGGCAACACCATTTAAATGGTTGATGTCATTGGGTAGAAAGGTCAAAATTAGTAGAACATTGCTTAGTGAATTAATAAGTAGATGGGTTGAAAAGAGAGGAGGATTTAATATAAGGTCTGAGATAGTATGCTTTACACTATTAGATGTGTGTTTAGGTTTAGGACTTCGTGTAGTAGGCAAAAATGTCAACATTGTAGAAGGAAACATTGATTGTCATACTAGGAGACTATTTAATGGGAAACATGTTACTTTGGAAATGATTTTTAATGAACTTGTTAAACGTCAAAATGATAAGGATGTCGATGACTTTTGTAGGTTGTACATACTTTTAGGTTTGTCGAAGTTTTTATTCCCTAATGAAGTAGGTATCGCACATTGTGGATTTTTTAAGTTAATAGATAATATATCTTGTCTTGGAAAGTATAATTGGGGAAAAGCAGTGTATGAATATCTGGTTGGAAGTTTATGTGAAGCATCGATTTATTTGAAGAAACGAAGAAATTGTTCACACTTCCGTGTTCTAGGATGTGTGTTTTTGTTACAGGTAAATCATAAATTACGATATATGTTTTGTTAGAATACTTTCAATATAGTCAGCTGATTTGATATTGTGCATTTTGTTTATATGAATTCAGGTATGGATCATGGAGCATGTACTTTATAATACCAAATCATGTAATGAGATAAGTCGATTTCCGAGATTTTTACAATGGACCTCTGTTGTAATTGGGGAAAGCAAGATTGTAGTTGCGTTTAATCATAATAGGGTTAGTTCATGAAAAATTTAGTAGAACTTGTTTGCAATATTACTTTACCATATGTCAAAATGTGATTTCAATTTGACATTGTTTGTTACTCATAGGTTATTCATGACTTGTGCGTCGAAATGAAGAGCTTGCTCATGATATAGTGAAAGAAGCATTAGGACATACCACTTATGCATCCGAAGAAGTGAAAAATTTTACTAATATGTTGTGTGGAATTAGTGCTGAGAATCAAATGTTGATTGCCGTAACCAAACAACAGGAATCAACAATTGAAAAACTAGAGGAAGATGTAACACAATTACACGAATTGTTAGATGAAGCAAAACTATCAACAGAAGAAGTAAATCCTCCATCATGTGGGATGTACTTTTCTCCAGTATTTGAAGGTAGTAGTATTAAAGAGATGAAGCATCATGTTGAAGCAACAGAAGAATCAAAGTTGCATTTTGAAGGGTCAAATATGTATACGCGACTTAAAGGTCATCCAAGAATAAGGTATAAAAGTTTTACGGTCAAAACACCGTGGACGACTAATTCAAGGAAAAGAAAAAAGGCGACATAAGTGTTGTCTAGATGAATTATTTTGTTAGGTTTTGTTGTAATTGTAATTTATATTTGATGCAGACCTTTATGATGTAATTTTTGTGGCCTGTGATAATGTTATATTGTACATTACTTTTTATCTCATAGTGATAATGTTATATTGTACATTACTTTTTAATGATATATAGTCAAGTGGTTAAGCATATAATGTGGGTTATACAAATTTAGCACATAATTAACACAACAATGTCATGTTCAGTTAAGCACATAAAGTTGAGGTGGTCAGCAGATATATGGTTAAGCCAATAGTAAAACATGACTAAATGTCTATCATAATTAACCACATAATGTTTATATGTCTACAACTCTTAAAAGTGACAAATATCATGTTTGAACCAGAAATCGCTCGAGCGAGATTAATGTCGCTCAAGCGAAATACAACCCGAGAATCCCAATTTTTTGCAGGTGGTGTCGCTCGAGCGATGTTAATTTCGCTTGAGCGAATGTTGACCTTGGGCTAAACGTCGATCAAAGTTAGCCGCATAATGTAACATGGGTGACCCCATTCTCAGGAGGTGGCGTCGCTCGAGCTAGATTATTTTCGCTCAAGCGAAACACGCCCCGAGAATCCCCATTCTTAAGCGGTGGTGTCGCTCGAGCGATTTTAATTTCGCTTGCGCGATATTAGAAAAAATAGATAATATGATAGATTATTTTAGGTTATAATCGATCATTAACATACGTAAGACAGCGGTTTACGGTTAACCGCTATCTAATATATATTTTTAAAAGCGGTTCAGAGTAACCGCTATCTAAGGTCTGTGGTATGTGGTTCAATATTCGCTCAAGCGACGTATTGAACGCTTGAGCGAAAAGTGATTCTAATATGTGGTGAACCAACTTAAATTATTTGGCTAACTGCGTTTGACGTTTCGCTTTAGGTATAAACTCGCTCAAGCGATAAGATATCGCTCGAGCGACGCAGCCTAAAAAAGGGAGACTCTTGGGTTCCATCTCGCTCAAGCGAATTTTTGAAAGCTTGAGCGAAAAGTGATTCTAATATGTGGTGAACCAACTTAAGTTATTTGGCTAACTGCGTTTGACGTTTCGTCATTGGGTATAAACTCGCTCAAGCGATAAAGTTATCGCTCGAGCGACGCAGCCTTCAAAAAGGGAGACTCTCGGGTTCTATCTCGCTCAAGCGACTTTTTGAACGCTTGAGCGAAAAGTGATTCTAATATGTGGTGAACCAACCTAAATTATTTGGCTAACTGCGTTTGACGTTTCGTCATTGGGTATAAACTCGCTCAAGCGATAAGTTATCGCTCGAGCGACGCAACCTTCAAACAATTGAGACCTTCAAACACTGATTCCCAGTGGCAGAATTGTTGCACTGAAAAAGCTTCACAAAGCAGAATCTGAAAATCCATCCTTTTACAAGAGCTTTTGCAACGAGACCAACATCTTCACAGAAATTCGCCATCGTAACATCATTAAGCTTTATGGCTTTTGTTTGCATAACAAGTGTATGTTTTTGGTGTATGAGTATATGGAAAGGGGAAGCTTGTTTTGCAACTTGTCTTATGATGTGGAAGCTCAAGAGCTGAATTGGAGAAAGAGGATAAATATTGTTAAAGGGATATCTATTGTCTTATGATGTGGAAGCTCAATTTAAATATTTTTAAATTGGGACTTTAGATAGCGGTTCTGGAAACCACTATCTAAACCTACTAAAAAGAGCGGTTCTACATATAACCGTTATTAAAAGTATATTTTAGATAGCGGTTAACATGGAGCCGCTATTATAGGTTTACTTTTAAGAGCGGTTAAAATATTAACCGCTCTGCAAAGTCAATCAAATGTCGCTTGAGCGAGACTATAGTCGCTCAAGCGAAACACAACCCGAGAGTCCCCATTCTATCAGGTTGCTTCGCTCGAGCGATGATAAATTCGCTTGAGCGATTTAACAAAATGAGAGAATATGATCGATTATTATAGCTTATAGTCGATTATTCCCAGACCTTAGACATCGGTTAACGTTTAACCGCTATCTAATACATATTTTTAAAAGCGGTTCTTATTAACCGCTATGTAAGGTCGCTTCGGGTTCAGTCGCGCTCAAGCGACTCTGTAATCGCTTGAGCGACAGTTGAATCTTATATGTGGTGAACCAAGATTTATTAGATGGCTAACTGCGTAGGATGTTTCGTCTGTTGTTCACCAGTCGCTCAAGCGAGGATGACATCGCTTCAGCGGTGGAACCTTAACCAAATGGAACCCTTGCCTTCACAGTTTGGGGCTATCACCTCCTTCGTGGTCACAGCTTGGGTACTTGAAGAAGTCGCTTCTGAGTTTTTCTTCTGAGTGGGTACTTGAACCATCATATTAAAATTCAAAACTGAAATCTCCAACCATAATAAACTCGCTCAAGCGATAAAGTTATCGCTTGAGCGACGCAGCCTTCAAACAGGGGAGACTCTCGGGTTCTATCTCGCTCAAGCGTTGTTTCGCACGCTTGAGCGAAAAGTGATTCTAATATGTGGTGAACCAACTTAAATTATTTGGCTAACTGCGTTTGACGTTTCGTCATGAGGTATAAACTCGCTCAAGCGATAAAGTTGCCTCAAGAAGAAACTAGAAAGCTCAAACCAGTTTATCCAAATCTGCAGAGAGTTTCTTCTTCAAAAGAATGCAAGTTGCCTCAAGAAAGATTTTCAAAATAACTTAAAAAAAAACTGTTGCGAATCTTTCTTGAAAAAGTGCTAAAGTTGCTGGATTGAGTGAAAATCGTTTTAATCGAGTGAAATTCGTTTTAATCGATTGAAATAATTCTGATCGGTCATATTTCAATTCTGATCGATCATAATTAACTCTGATCGGTCATAATTTCATTCTGATCGATCATCCTGACTTCCAAAGTGGTTTTAATCGATTGAAACGTGTTTTAATCGATTAAAATAGTTCTGATCGCTCATATTTGAATTCTAATCGGTCATAAACAGTTTTAAAGGGTTTTAATCGATTAAAAGAAGTTTGTATCGATTAAAATACTGTAAAAACACTTCTTTAAACATTCTAAGTGATTTTAATCGTTTCTTTCAAAGCATTATCAGTCAAAAACATTATTAAGAAAGTTCTTTGTCAATATGCTTTTGTTTTTTATTTGTTGAAAACTATTTTTGAGGCATTTTGCAAAATGAATGAAGAAACTTTATGCAGCAGAAAAGGTTAAGCGACAGAACCTTCAAATTTCAATCTGTTTTTTGTTAAGCGCATTCTTTACAACTATTAAGCATGAAGTTATCTGTTATGTACAAAGATGATACAAATATTTATAATGTCATAATATTTAACATTTAAATGATCCATAACCAACTTAACAATTATATTACATATGAATAAACTGTACAATATTCATCAATGAAGATGAACAAATAATCAAATACAATATCTAAATTTCTACTCCTACATGAGGATGTTAACTCCTGATTCAATAACCATGACTTGTCGATGGAGATTTTGAGGATGAAGTACCCATCTGCATACATATTCTTCTCGAAATTTCTGAACTTGCTCCTGTACATTGCAACTGTTCACAATATTACATTAATATAGCATCACAACTCAATAAACCCTAAACCGTGAAAAACACATTGATTACAAACTCAATCAAAGATAATCAGAAAAGAAAACAACAATGGAAACCCAATAAAAAATACACACAAAATCAAGCAAATGTTGTTAAACGAACACTCACCACCGCAGGGTCGCTCAAGCAACACACAGTGATGTTCAACTCCGAGGGAGAAGAAGTCGAGCGAGGAAGAGCGGGAATGTGAAAAGCGAAAATCAATGTAAGTATGAAGTAGACCCTTTCTCTAACATTTAGATAGCGGTTATTTGGCCAACCGCTATCTGAACTATACATTATGATCGATTATTATCCAATTATAATCGATTAGATTGACATATATGACTTTAGATAGCGGTTATTTGGCCAACCGCTATCTGAACTATGCATTATGATCGATTATTACCCAATTATAATCGATCAGTTTTACATATATGACTTTAGATAGCGGTTAATTGGCCAACCGCTATCTGAACTATACATTATGACATATATGACTTTAGATAGCGGTTATTTGCCCAACCGCTATCTGAACTACATTTATTATAGCGGTTATTTTGCCAACCGCTATCTAAGGTCGCCTCGCGCTCGAGCGACTATGTAATCGCTTGAGCGGCAGCGACAATTGAACCTTTACCAAACGAAACTAAACTCCTGCAAATCCTGGAAGGAGAAAAGTGTACCCTTGAGTTACTTTTTCTCATATGAGCTCGTACAAAGGCGCCAAGAGCTTTCTTATTCACTCTTGGCGGGGACTACTACTGGGAAACCAAACGAAAGGAGTGAAAACTTTTTATGCTGTTGGCTGCTTGGGTTACTCTGCTCTCGTCTATGCCCTTGGTGTGACGCAGCTGGGTATCGATTTGACTTTCGGATCTTTAGGTGGCACTCACTGGCCCCGTCTTTGCTCTACAAACTCATGGAAAGGCAGGAGCCTGGAAGCCAGGAAGAACGAGCCCTTCAATTCTTCTATAACATCCCCCATTTTTACAATATTACATATCTGAACCCATACAATTTTACTAATCAAACCCTTATTTTTAATTAATTTCTTTTTAGCCCCGGTTGTCTAACAGTTGTTTGTTTTCGGTTGTCAAAGAATCGTTTTCCTTTCTCCTTCTTTGTCCTTACCAACTAGAGCAACACACTCCTTGCGAAGACGTTTGAATATATTTTGATTATGTGGCATCTCGACCACCATGAAATCTGCAATTGACAAACAACTTAACAATGTTAAAATTCACACCAAGAGAAATAAACATGGAGAAAAATGTACAATCAAGATCTAACTGGTGACAAGAGGACTAGTAAGTCCTGAGCATTTTGCGGGTAGGCGTCTTCGTGAAAGCTTGTCTAAAATTTAGTACCTTCACATCTTATGATGTCATCTTGAACCTTGACCAGCTTTGATACCACAAGGGATCACGGGTCTAGTGAAAGAGGAATTTGGGTCTGACTCCATCATAGAAGAAGGTGTGACCTTCCAGCACAATCACCACTTTAAAGAAGTTAGCATTAAAATTTTTACATGAGGAGGTATATAGCGAAAAAATAGAGGAAGCCGAATGACCTATATATTAATGATAAATCAGCTACCCGAACCTCTTTGACGGGTGCTGAAATGATGAAAAAAACTTGGGGAGTAGGGTGTCAAATGCAATGTGTGGCACAAGAGATGAATCACTTGTAAAGAAGTTGAATTGTTTGGTTGGAGTTGTGTGAGATCCACATCCTATGATAAACTCGTCAAAAGAAAGTCAAACATATGTACATGAGAAAACGACATATAAAAGTAATCTTTAGAACCTTCTTGACGACAACCAACATTATCAGTGGAATGACAATGGCATAATGTCACCACGACGCACGAAACGAAGCATCGCTCTTCCCTCACCATTGGATCTAATCTCTCAATGTACATCCAACTGCTTTGTTTTAGACTTCGTCTTTCTTGTCCTCAGGATAATGTGTTGGGTTTAGATTTAGGGTAAACAAATATGAGGCCAATTTATAAAAAGGATAAATACTACTCTCCACTCAAAATTGTAAGATATTATTAGTTTATAGGTTATACTTTTTATATATTGCTCAACTTTATGAAATTTAACTCATACTTAAATTACTCAAGTGTTGATAGAAAATGTGATACATGAACCGAAAAATGGATAGAAGAAATTTAATGATCAGATTGAGATAAAAAATCGACAAAATTAAAGTATCAAATGTAAAGTTAAAGTTGGAGGAGAAAATTGAAGAAGATCAGAGACATCATGAAGTTCAAGTATTCGATTTCTGGAATCGAAATTTAAGGAAACAGTTATCTCTGCACATGAGAATATTGGGTAACGATTATTTTAACCGTTTTAGGTGATTATGTTAAGTAGGTTATAAATATAACTAAGCGCGGTAGGTTAGATGAGATCATTTTGACTTCAGAAATTTCTAGTACCAGTCTACGGGAGAACCACAACCATCATGAAATTTCTAGCAATTTGAGTTTCCGCTTTCATCGATCTTTATTACCACTTTCTGTATTTTCCTTGGTAATTTATTCTTATGCAATTTAAAGTTATGTATTACTTTTTTGTTTCATCATTTATTTACTTCTCTACATTTCTTTAAAGTTAATTCAATGAGAGTTTCATATAGTCATTTCTTCTTTATTTCATCTTTCTCTAGTTTTCTATGTATTCTCATTTCCATGAGTTTACATAGTCTTTCATTTTATATAGTTTTCTTTCTAAATTCTATTTTTGTTTGTTTAAACATTATGAAAGTTTAATAATAAACATCTTTTTCTTTTACTTTCAATGAATATAATTCATTTATCTATTATTGTTGAACGACCTTTCTTTCAATTAAATATAGTTGTTTATTTAAGCATAATCGATGTTTGTATGTTTTTAAATTCATTTTTCAGTGTTTCGTACTTAGATTTATTATCTCTTATATTTTGATTGAAAAACTTCGTTTGCTGACCTAAATAAAAAGAACTCACACTGATTGAAAATTGGTTAAAACCCAGTATTTAGAAATCGAAATAAAACCAAATTTCACCAATAACACCAAGATAATATATCTATATCTGTTGGTGGGAAAAAATTGAGATATGAATCGAAAAGTGGGTGGAAGAAATTCGATGATCATGAGTTGGGGAAAATCGAGATATGAATCGAAAATGGATAGAAGAAAATTCAATGACCATGTGTTGGGGAAAATCGAGATATAAATCGAAAATGGATAGAAGAAATTCGATGACCATGTGCTGGAGAAAATCGAGATATGAATCAAAAAGTGGATAAATCGAGATATAGATTGGAAAGTAGATAAATCGAGATATGAATTGAAAGAAGATAGAGGAAATTCGATGAACATGATTGGGAGTAAAAAATCGATAATAAGTATCGAGTGTTAAGTTAAGTTTGAGGGAAGTCAGAGGCAGTTCAAGTACTTGATATCTGGAATCGAGATCGAGGGAAACAATTATCGTGCACATGGGAACATGGGGTAGCGATTTCTAAACCGTTCGTGGGTGGTCAGAAGCAGTTTAAAGTACTCGATGACTGAGGTTAAGATCGAGGGAGCAATTATCTCGTGCATGAGAACATGGGGTAGCAGTTTCTAAACCGTTCTTAGGTGGTTATGTTGAAGAAGGCTATAAATAGAACAAAGCGTGAAGAAGGAAGATGAAATTTTAGATGTATCAGAAATTTATTGTACAAGTCTATTGGAGAACGACGAATCATGGAGTTTCTGACAATCTGAATTTTCACTTTTATTGACTTTTGTTACCGCTTTCTTTACTTTCTCTGGTAATTTATCTTCAATGCAATTTAAATTTACATGTTTGTACTTTCCAGTTATTTCAATTCCTTGTCATTTACTCTTGTGCAATTTAAGATTCTGCATTACTTTTCGTCTCGATATCTTTTAGTGTTTTCTGTACTTTCCCTAGTAATTTATTTACATACAAGTTAAGTTCGTGTTCTTCGTTCTTGCATTTATCTTTATTTAGTTACTTTATATGAGTTTGCATGTCTTTTATTTTACATAGTCTTTTATGTTATTTCGTTTACACTTAATTTTATTTTTACTGATTTTCATGTTCTCGAGTATCTTAATAAAAATACAAAAAGAACTTTCAATTTCATTGATGTCTGTATGTTTTTAATACGTTTTCCATGTTTTGTACTTAAATTTATCTTAACCTAAATAAAAAAAACTTACGATGATTAAAATTTGATTAGAACTTAGTCTTTAAGAAATTGAAACAAAGCAAAAAATTTCACTGAGAAACAATAACTTTTCACAAATAAATGATTTTTTCTTTCTTTAAAAAGTAAAATGATATACCTTCTTAACTAAGACAACTACAGATAAAGAAATATATTTTCTTTCTTCAAAAAGTCCAATGACTCTCGTCACCTTAAGCTACTCAAGCCGGGGACTAATGTGTCGAGAAAGTGTCGACACATAGTTAATGATTACTTAATTTTGCAAAATGACAAAAGATGATCAAATAATCAGAAATAAACTACGATCAGAAGGTTACCATGAATCAGAGTAAGACCCATAAAATAAAAGGTCTAACGTAGAACGCTACAAATAACACAAGCATCAAGGTATACACTATACATACAAGTATTTGTTAAACCATATTTTTTTATTTGATTTGAGCATTGTAATATCATTACACTTACATCGCCTCTTTAACCGATAAACCAAAGAGATTGCAAAATAGGATGAAGAAACGACTTTATATTAGAAGAAAAAAATTATTGATAATTCTTAAAAGAGTTCTGAAACTTAAAAATTGATAATTTGATTAATTAATGTTTTAATAGATCAATGCGTTAAAACATTATTTTCTTTTAAAAAATAATTATAAATACTTATTATTTTTAATTTTTTTTATAATAATAACATTACAATATACAATTCTATATATACTATTCAATTTTTTTATTACATAATCGATTTTTCTTAAATGTTTTTTATAAAAAATGTAATATCTCTATTATATAATTTTTATTTGAATTTTTTAATTAACTTTTTATATTAAAATATCGTATTAAAAATTAATATTTAGTTATAATAATTAAATTATTTTTAGATTCTCAAATTGTTGAATACAAATAAAAATACGAGAAGTGATTTGGCGTAACACCTTGAAATGTACTGTTTATGAATAAATATCTCACAAGTGATAAAAGAATTAAATCAAAGCAATTTAATTAAAAAACAAAAAAACCCTACTACACAATCAACCAGTGTTCGAAAAGTTTCTTCGAGCAGCGCGAAACTTGGAGTATTGGTTCTCATGGCGGTTCCACCATCATTGGAAACCGAATCCACTGGAAACAGATCATTCCTTTCCCAATTTTATTCTCATTATCTACGAAATCGAATCCGCGCTCTCTATCCCTTCTTTCCTAGAAATTTTTTCTCCAATCTTGCTATCCGCTTCAGATCAACCCCGCGCCGGGAATGTCTCCCTCTTCCGTTGCCCTCCTCTTCACTCGATTCTCCCGTGTACGCTCATTTTCCTTGTCATTTCCACAAACTAACGATAAATTAATGGATATTCGTTCGTGTTTGAATATCATTTTGATTTGATTCTCAGCTCTGTTTCTATTTCTTTATGGAACGAATGAATGACTATTAGAGTTTTTGTGGTTTGCGGCTGTGTTCCCTTGCAGGCTCATTACCAAGAGATCAAGAGCGCATGGTCTTGTGGAGGGTATACTGGAACGTGTTTTGATAAATTTGCATAGCATTCAAAAGAATCTGCAGTTCTGGCAGTTTAGAGCTAAGGTTCTGTCTTTAAATATCTTGTCATTTTGTTGAATTATCTGTGTATCACAATGATTTCCAAAAGAATTAAGGAAAAAAAAAATCGAAATAAGTTATTGCATTAGCCAATTTTAACTGATGCATAAACTAAAAATAAGGTTTCCAAGAAGGTAATATGAGATAGATTGTATAAATTAACTTGTAAACTAATTTTCACTTATAGTAAACTTCTTTTATTTATTTATTTATTGTTTTATTTCCATCTTTTACAAGTATTTATGAAAACTTTATCCAAACATGTCTTTTAGTTCACACTATGTCCATCGGAAATAGTTCTACTGCTCATTTGTTTAAAAATTCAGAGGTCAGATTCTGAGAAGGCGCGTTTCATGATTTTTGAGAGGGGTCCAAGGGCTTTTATTGATGAAACAGTTAAGTTGTTGCGTGGACTCACTGCCCAGGGTTCGTCCACACAGAGTCTGTGTCAATCTGCATCTGATTTTATCGATGAGAGAGTAGCTGTTTTGAGTTGCTTAAGATATTCACTTGCCACATTTTTGGCTCAGGTTTGCTTTGTCTGATTAGTTGTCTCCTAATGTTTGAATCACAATAGTCTTTCATAATTACAATATAATGATTTGCCTGTCTTTTATTGTCAAGCTTGCTTATTGGTGAATACTTATTTGTTATTGTATGATTCTGTTTGGTGTTATTAATCTTCATATTTGTAGAAGAGAAATTTTGGAATGACTGAATGATTATCAAGGTGATGCTATATCTTACATGTTTTCTTTAGCAGCTGCTGCTCTTTACCGAATGACCCTAGTTTTGTCTTTGGGTACTTTCCCCCCTTTTTCCTGGCTGAGGCACTGTTATTGACGCCTTTAGGGCAATTTCTTTAATAGGCCTGCGGAGGATTATGAGTATACGTTTGACAGGAAAACTGTTTAGTAGAAGATGTGGGATTCATTTATTCTGGCATGCCCATCAAACTCCTTTGAACGCAACTGTAGAAATAGAAAATTAGAAATATGGAATAATTGCTCTATCAACTTCACTTTGTTAAAGGTCAATATGCTATCAATTCTCTGATATTTCTTCAAAGTTGAAACTCCATGCTCAGGTTTATATGGAAGTTGATACAATTGGAGAGGAGTTAGTGGCAGATCCAGAGACGAAGCTGCCCTCGTTGTTAGTTACAATTAATGATTTGTTTTCAATATTAGAAGCTTCAATTGGACATCTACATGCAACACGTCAGGTTTATATAGATAAATTTGTTCATTTTTGCCTCTTTCCCTCTGTTTTCCTTTTTGTATGTTACCCTTAACCCTTATCACTATGAGTCATGATTTTTCAATGCAAAACTGGAGCATTTTTGTAGCTTAATTGTTTCTAGAATTGACCTTTCATACTTATTCAGAGTGATTCTTCTGTCGATGGGAGCTATTCAATCCCTCTGCTATTTGAGAAGTTGCCAAAAATAAATCAGGAGGGATCTCCGTGGACAGATTGTGAAATAACAGATGCTATCAATCTAGTTTATCAAAATTTAGACAAGCTGGACGCATACATATCATTTCTTGTAAGATCTTCTATCTAAATCCTTCAACATCCAGCAGCTTACTCTATTAGCATTTTCTTTCATGTTTCGGTGAGCAGTAATGTAACATTGTTTTATGTGCCTTACTGTTCAGCATTCTTTTTTATTTTCTAACTAAAAATTATGAAGTTCTATGTAAAAAAAAAATCCTTTTAATACTTTTGAATTTATATACTTCCATTCCATCAGCAAAGTCTGACCTCAAAGAGACTACCTTTTTTGTGCTGAATTTTAATAATTAAATAGATATACATACAGTTTTTTTTTTTTTTTTTTTTTTTTTTTTTTTTTATCACAGACTGAAATGATTTTACTTAAAATAACTTATTCTTTTTGTTCAAAATAGTAACTTTAAAAGATGAGATATTAAACAGAAACATTTCCAACCTTCCTGAAAATAAGGTTTCAACCATAATCATGCTATTAACTTTGTCTGGTATTATGTGTTAGAAGAGCCATTTCTGTTTGTTATTGGGCAATAGTTCCTTCATGATTAAACGAATAGGCAACTGTAATGCTCCTTGCCTAAAGGCATTAGTTTCACACCCAAATGATATGCTGATCATAGGGCATGTATTTAGTGAGAAAGCCATTTTTATACAAATTGAGAGAAGTAATTAATAGCCATACCATCATTGGGCTTAAAATTAATTGCTTACCGAGCTTTCTCTTGTTACATTGTCGTGTGCCCCCTTTTGCTTTGATTGGTATTCTGAAATTCTCAAAACAAATTTATTGGGTAGGAATGGAATAGTAAACCCCTCAATCAATTAGACAACACTTGGCCTGACTCAAGATAGAGACTTGGATATTATGGGGGTGCCTAAGTCCTGCATCATGTAGTATGAGATCTTAGCGGAAAATTTAAGTGTTTAATTCTTCTTGTTAAAAGTTTGCTTTTGAGAGTGGATTCCCCAAGTGCTTGGATGCTTATCAATTAATATCAGAGCTAGTTATCGAGTCTTGAAAAGGGCTATTATAGAGACTTGTATATTGTGGCATGCCTAAGTCCCATACCAAGTAGTATGGGATGCTCATTATTTAAGTAATTGATTTTTCTTCCTTAATTGCTAGCTTTTGAGGGTGGGTTTCCCAAGTGCTTGAATAAACATCAATTAATGCTCCTTATTATATATTAAACACTCCTAGGTGTCTTCTATGTTATTTTCTATCTCCTAACAATCCATGCGACTATGTCAATGTTTCAATGCCTATTTGAAGTTGATAAAATTATTGTGACTGGAGTCAATAACTAGGGCTTCAATTTTTTACCATATATATTGGATTTCGTCATCTATGGAGGTTCTGAAATTGCACAAGTAATCAACATGTTTTGATGATACTTATTCATTTCTTGTTGTCAGTTAGTTTATGTTGATTGGACTGCTCTATAACATCAATAAATTCTAAATTTCACTTGAATGGTTATGATATATTTCAGGTCATCAAACATAGAAAGCCAAGGAAAATGACTCAGTATTGGATCCGTTATACATGTGGTGCAGTTGGGCTGTCAGTATGCTCCATTTGGCTCTTGCGGCATAGTAGATTGGTGGGAAGTTCTGACCTTGATAATTGGGTTCAGGAAGCTAGGAGCTCAACAATTAGTTTTCTTAAGAACCACGTAGAGCAACCGGTACATTTCTTCTTTATGATTTACCAGGGTTTCATTCTTCTTTATTTTATTTCCCTCCTCGATTAAGGACACTTGAACTTAACATGTCCTTGTGAGATAGGAGCTGTAGTAAGCATTATAAAATTTTCTTAACCTCATTTCCCCCCAAATTTCAATCTATTGATAATTAGAGTTAACTATGTAGCCTTCCTAAAAGTCTATTTTCCTGGAGCAATGGACAAATTTCTTTTCCTTCAGTCCTTTCCCTCTTCTTTCCCATCTTGATATCTGTTGAAAAGTTAACCAAACGGATTGAGGTTTACCATTGATGTAGGATGGAAGCATGGAATAAGGTTTAATATTGCCTAGTAGCTGATCTAAAGTGCATTATGTAGACAAGGTTGGATTCTACCAGGACATAATGGAACCCATTAGAATATTATAAAGTTAGAAAGAGTGTTGTTTCTTATTTTTAAATTAAGCCTAGCCCTAAAATTATTTTATTTAATATCCTACCTTGATAGGGTTAAATCCACCAGTTGAAACCACGTAAACCCTTTACAGTAATCCCTATAAAATTTACTACTAGAGATTTGAGTCCTCTTGTTTGTCACTTTGTCCCACATCTTAGGATATATGCTGATGCAATCATTTTTCAGATTTTGTCTATTAGGGATGAACTTTTTGAGACATTCAGGAAGAGACATCAAGGTATTATGGACCTTGAAGAGGTGCAGTTAACTTCCAACTCATTACACAGGTTATTGGTTTTCAAATATGTTCTCTCTCTTTTTTTTTTTTAATGTACTAAACCTGTATAGAATTGCAATGCTTGGAATTCTTATTTTAACATAACGGTTTGTAGTTTTGCAATGTATGCTATTAATTGGGCACCTTAATAATTTTGTTTCTATAATTCTCTTTTAACATAAATTGTTGATATTTTTCCCAATTGAAGTATAAACTTCCAAGTTGGAAGTTCCAACCCTTTAAAACCTTTTTGCTACAGTGAAAAAAAAACTTATTATTCTTATTTTAAATTTATTTTTCAAAATAAATTAATAAACAGAAATATATGTGAAGTATTTTTAAATTTTTTGAAGATTCAGAAGAAGCCTGTCTTTCAAAACCCCAATTGTCGTAATTAGACAGCATAGACAATTTGCTTCTGGTTTATATGTAATTATGCATGTGCATGGTCTTATTCATTCATAATAGAATGTGCATGTATGCAAATTGAAGAACTGTGTTGGGTATGTTTGACGCCTGCGAAAGAATGTTTGAAGGATTTATAGCTGGGGTAACTGTTTGTGAAACTATTGGGACCTTGTAAATTTTAATGAGTTGTGTTGAGTCTCTTCTGTGGCTTGAATTGGAGCGGATTCTAATTACGTAAAAGATTAATTTTGATACAAATAAAAAAATCAATTAATGAAAGTTATGCAATAAATGCAGGATTGCTAAGTTTTGTAATCGTGATGATTCACTGTAGTCTGTTTATCTACCATGATATTTTACAATGTTCTCTATTATCCTTTTGTACCATAAGTAGATGTATAATCTCTATCCGGAGAAATTGGATTCAGTAGCAATTAGATAAAACGTGCCCAACAGTAAGGATATATTAGAGATAAAGCCTTTGTGCTATCAATTATTTCATTTTTTATATGACTACGTGGAACTGCATTCGGGTATATTAATTGATATATAAGAGTGACTTGCAATAGTCATCTAAATGATATTGAAAGGCATGCTAGTTGCATGAATAATTGGATATTGCTTTCTTAGTAACTATTTCTAAAAATTTCTGTACAGAATGTTGTTGGCATTCAGTGAGCAGGCAAAGGGTCAGAATATCCCAGTGAATGCTTCAGATCAGGAAATGCTTGAGATTGTCATGGATAGGTGAGTTGCCATATTTCACTTTTCTGTTCTTCTGGTAGTAAGTTGTGATATTCCAATGGTAGTAAGTTGCTTCTGGAATTGAATTTGAAGTAGATACATAGATTTTTACCTTTAAGCAATTTTCCGTGATATTATACCTGCAGGGTTCATCCTGAATGTTCATTAAAATATTTTCAATTTATAATTGATTGAATATATTTTGAACTTTACCGAATTAAAAATTGGATTTCGATGGAACCAAAGGACAATAACATACAGAAAGTGATTTTTATATATACTAGTCATCACTATATCATTTCATAGGAAGAAATGTTGAATATAGAATCCTTATTAGTAAAATTTTTAGTATCACTTCATTTTTTGTAACATTGGTGTTCATCATGTGTTAAGATCTAATTTTTTTGAAGTATAAATGCAGGTATGAGAAGGAACTCATGCATCCTATTCAAAACCTTCTTAATGGGGAGCTGATTCGGGCTATACTTATTCAGGTAATGTAATTCATATGTTATATGTTACATCGGTTTAACTTACATTCGTTTAAGTAGTTTTAACGTAATTCTTCCCTGTTCCAGGTTCAGAAGCTCAAGCTGGATACTGAAACGTGAGTTTATATGAATATAAAAATTTAAGGAATACTCACATTGTTTTAATTCCTCAAGATAATATTTTGGTCAGGGCAATGCTAGAGCTGAACCAGATTCTACGGGCAAATGAAATCAACTTTGCGGTTCTGACTGCTTTGCCTGCATTCTTTCTCTCTCTTTTACTCATCATGGTAGTACGTGCATGGTTCAAACAGGTAGTATCCCTTGTTTAGTTTGCCAAAAATTGTGACCTGAAAGCTGACAGGAATCCAAATGTTATACTATAGTTCTTACGTACTCTTAAGAAAGCTTGTATTGGAGTGTGGATCTTGTTTGGAGTGACACTCCACCATGAAGCGAATATCAAGACAAAATTGTGTGTGCTTGGTGGTAGGGGTGTCAATACGGGTTGTAACCTGTGATCAACTTGGCTCACCACAGGTTCGAGTTGGGTTGGGTTCAAATTTTTTCATTTTTATCGATAATGGGTTAAAAATAAACCCGATTTACTTAATCCACAGGTTAAGTAGGTTTGAGTCAGGTTATGGTGGATTGAGTCACAACCCACCATTCATTTTAAATTTTAAAAATGATTATAATAATTTAGTAACTCTAATAGATGTTATTATGTCTCTCCACCTCTATTATACGCCGCTGCTACAAGTCAAACCCTCACTCAAACTTATCATCAATTGTTAGCCGTACCACCTGGGCCACTTGCCATCCTTTTGCGGTACCACTACGTCATTGTGTTTGTCATGCCACTGCGTTTGTCGCACCACTATATTTGCCGCACCATCACACTACCGTACTTCAGTTGCACCTAGCATTTGTCGTGCTTTAATTGTACCATAGCATTTTCTGCTTTTCAATCGCGTCATAGCTTTTATTGTGCCATCGCACCATTATGTTTCAATCCTGCGATTCAATCATGCTTATTAGGAAAAAAATTGAATAACAAAAAAGTTAATGTGGGTTAGTGAGTCAACCCATCTAACTTATCAACCCGTAGAGGATTGAGGCAGGTTGTGAAATTTCTGATTACCCTAAACCCTAAACCCTATTTTCATCTCAACCTGTGTGAGTTGGGGTTGACTCACTTTGATACCCCTAGTTGGGGGATGTATATAGGCTTGCTGGTTACAGGATGTGTAACACTTGGAATATTGCTAAATCTCCGTCTGTTTTATCTTTCACTCCTGACCAATTTTTAGTGTATAGTTTGCATACTGTTAGAATTTGTTTGGTCTTTAAAAATATAATTACACATTTGATCCATATAGTTTTAAGAATGTGTAATTTTGGTCCCTACAGTTTTAAGAATATGCAATTTTAGTGCTATAAAAATAATTACACATTTGGTCTTCAGTTTTCCAAAATTAAGGAGTTTTGGTCCCACTGTTAATGTCATCCAATTAGTACTAATAAAAAATATTACATGTCTATCAGTGATAAAAATGTCAAATATTCACATAAAATATCAATAGCAAGGTTTTTAACAAAAAGTTGACACTTATACTTGTGGATATATTAACATATTCTGTTAGAAATTTAATGATATATTTATGTTAAACTAAATTTACTTAATTTTTGAAAACTGGAGGACAAATGTGCAATTAAATTTTTATAAGGACCAAAATTGCACATTCGTGAAATTATGAAGACAACAGTGGATTTAAGCGATTTGGCCTATCTGATGGACTAGATATTACAGTAACTTTTCTAGTCAACATATGTACCTTAATTATCACTTGATTTGGTCGAAAAGGTATTCTATTTTGTATCGAACCTGCTCAATTTCATCCTTTGTTTGTTATACTTAACTGCCCTTGATTTTTTTAAAGAATTTTGTTATTTGCCTCATTGATTGGAGGATACTCAGCAGTGTTATGAAGTTACCTATTTTCAGTTGTCATTGAATTTGTTTACTCATTATAATTTAATTATATTATTTCAAGTGACTTTCCAAAGTTGGTTTGGATTTAAGAATTCGTTTATGTAGCTTGTGGGGGGACTAAAACTAACTTGTGGTATATTGAGGCTCATTAAACTTTGACCCTGCGGTCAGATTTGTCAAGTTGTATCAGTATTGCCTTCTTTATTCCCAACTTGCATTGATTAAAAAGTTTGTATAAATTAGGATACTAAAGCTGAGGGAAGAGGTAGAGTTGCTCGTATTCAGAGGAGGTTACTTGTTGCAGAGGTTAAGAAAAGAATTGTGCGGTACCAAAATTATGTTGACCAAGGGCTGGTAAGAAGCTTTCCTGAATTGAAGTTTCAAGTCTATAAAGTCATGCCATTTTGTACGTACATAAGACTTGATCTTATTTAGCCCTCCTAAAATGAAGTTTCATCTCTCTGCACTCACACACACATATATGGGGGCGGGATTCACCTAGGCAGAGTAAGTCGAGAATATTCAATGATGGAGTATATGACAAATGTTCTTCACTGGACAAATTTTTTTTCTTCAGAAAAAGTCTCCATTTGTGTAGTTTGAGGTGCGAGTGGGGTTCACAAACTGCATTTTGTGCTCATTTAGCAAGCACCATAATATTTCTCCCACCTTCACACATATGTTGTAACGTGAAATTTATGTTCAATGGTTTAAAATTAATTTTATCAAAATCAATTCTTTTTAACTTTAAAACAAAGAAATCCTTAGTTAATTTGAATGAGTTTGTTGATTGTAGTTATGGGTTTTAGCTTGGTCCCATGAACTCTTTGTATTTCTTTTTCCTTTTTTTTAATAATATTTTGTCATGTAACAAATGATTAGTGGACTTAGAGGCACCAACATTGTTGGGATGTTTTTGTTCAATAGTGATGCATAATATGTTAGCCTTTTTATAAAAAAATGTAATTGAATGAGATATATAGAAGAAATATAGGAAGTTCACATTACATGTTATCTACAGGAGAGAGATGCACAATGTATGTTTGGATTGGCACTCTATAGCCTGAATCGCCTATATAATTCTGTCAAGTGGCACGCAGAAGCTTCTGGAGAGTGGGAGAGGTTAGTTGCACTGTTGTCTCTCAGATGTAATTGTCAAGTCACTTTCTGTTTATCATATTTATGTTTATATCCTCTAACTGTTTGAAGGGTGTGAATTCTATGATTGTTAAAATTGCTAAATCAATGACATTATAAACAGTTTGCGTGAGGATATAATAGATCTGGCAGCCCCTGGACTGCAAACTTCAGACAAGCTCTCTGTGATATCACACATGGTTACATATGACTGCTTGCTTCCAAGTCAGAACCGCCGGTAGCATATTTTAGGATATTATTTTTTTCCTTAATTCTTTTAATGATGCTTTTCTAGCAACTTTGGAATCCAATTTTGTTGTGGAAGTGTGCATAACTTCCTCATACATGGTGACATTTTATTGCTGCAGTATGATCAAAGGCTTTGACAAATTTTATCAATAGAATACAAATCATATTATGAAGGGATGTTATATGTTCATTTGCAATTATTTTTCAAGAGTTGGACAAGAATTGAATGTGATGCATCGCCGTATCTTGTCCATATCTTTCCACGAGATTTCTGATCAAATAATGTGCATGCCAGTATTTCGCAATAAAAGAAATATTCTACTCTCTAATTGCGGTCGATATCATACATTCCTCGTTACTAAAGATTTCAACGATTCTCCACTCTAAAATTCCATTGTACTGTAAACAAAATGGGGGCTAGATAATTAATGCTTTTAGCGTTGGTAATAAACAAGGGTCTTCCTTTTATACTAAAATTCAAACAACCAATAACATCATACACTACGAAAAGTGAATATGAATATTAAAAAAAATAAAAAATCTTACACTTACGTTTAGCGTTGGCTATTATTATCTTTTTGTTCAAAAATTCTAACCACGTCTTCAATTTGTACAAGGGTGTGACAATCAGTGCCAAACACATAAGTAAATGAAAACTAATATAATTATAAAATAGTTAGATAGATATATGGAATGAAAAAGGTTGTATGTGTATCATACATTAACTATGTATATGATTTTTAGATTGTCATTTAAGTTAAAAGTTGTCATATTATTATATGTATAATAATGTGCAATAGATACTTCAAAAAATGATTTATTATATTTTGTTTTTAAAATAAATCAGCCATGGAATTTTTCATCTATAGTTCATATATATTAACCATTTATTAAAACAAGTCAATATGAGAAGATATGAACAGAAGCAATGTACGGAAATTTTGATTTGCCGATAGAAAATTGGAGCTACATCATATTGTTGACTACGAAAAGAACTACCAATCAACCTTTTGATTACAATGTATAAATGTCTGGTCAGGACTTGATCATTTGTTGGTGTTGGACTACTAAAATTGAAGCTTTGGTAATGGTATCCGAGGAAGCAAGCAAATCTCCAATCACACCCAACTCAGAAAACTCTGTCCATCTTTCAAGTGCTGCTGTCTGAGGTGATTTGATCCCATTACGTCTCCCAACTATAAAGAAATCATGTTGATTTGCAATATCTGACACAAAAGTGCTGGTCTGAGAAGGTTCCTCTATGGTAACTTTTTCATACGACACATTCTGAACGTGACCATATAACCCTTTAACACTCTTGAGCACGTCATCATCAAGCATCAGGTCCCAGTTGGCCTCACCAGGGCCCGAGACCAAGTGGTACACAACCAAGTTGCAAGCACAATCTTTGATGGCCCTCTTAGCCAAGCACAATGCCTCTCTGTCATCTAAACCCCCCAAAAAGATCATTGCTATTCGCTTTATTGAGTTATCATTGTTGTTGTTGTTGTGAGTAGAAGAAGAGCCTCGAGTCACAATAATCCCCACGGAGCATGGTGCTCTTTCGAGAACTCTAGAGTTGAGAGTTCTTATGTTTTTATCTGTTGATTCGATGGAACCATCCTCACCCCATCTCACGTGAAATGGAAGAATAATGATGGAAGCGAGTTTGTCCAACGCAAGGTAACAAATATCATCATGCATGAAACGGAAGGGAGAGATGGCTGTGTAGGTGTTAACTAATGCAGTTCCCGCATTGTCATGTTCGAAGAGGTCGAATGCTACAATGACATCTTCGGAGTAGTTGTGGTTTGAGTCGACCCTTTCTTGGACACGGTGTGAGATGAAGATGGGAGAGGATCTACCGACTAACTCTATGAGATGCAAGACGTGAGCCAGTAAGGGGTTGTTTGGTGCGGGGCAACAGATGTCAAGAGCGTTTTTTATGGAAGTTATGTGGCTTGGTTTGTGGATGCATGCCACCACCCGAAGCTCTGCGTTGGGTTTCAAGTTGAGTATGTTTCTTTTCTGATAGCCTGCGTATTTTCTGGTTGGGTCGTAGAGAGCTTTCACCCCGATGCGGCCAATGCTTGCTAACACCAATATCGATATAGCCATCATGGAGACTGTTGCATTGCTCATTAGCTGCATTGCATGGGGACTAAAATTAGATGGTAAAAATATAATATGCATGAAATTAATTTGTGTAGAAAAGGTGACGTGAAAAGAAAATAAAAATGTTAAGGCATCTCTTTCAATTCAATTCTTACTGTTTGAATGCGAAGAAAGTATTAATCACATACCAGTGAGTCAAACAGAAAGACGTCGGTGACGTAATCAACTACTCCTTTGCAGCTCAACATGAGAGCGAGGCACAAACCATCGGTTTTGGGCATGTTGCAATGGCGACAGATTCCGACAGTGAGAAGCATCTTCATCAAATGCACAACAACAACGAAGGAGATCACCGTGAGAGCTAGCTCGCAACTAATGTGCGCGGAAAGATCAATTTTCATGGCACAACAGGTGACAAAGGTTGGCAAAAGGAACCAAGTGTTGAACAACTCAAACTGTTTGATCAATTCAGAGCCCAGTGGAGGACCTTCTGGCACAGCAAGACCTAGGAGGATCACTCCACCTAACACAGTCTGGTTAGCCCACACTCCAAACAACCCTGCGAAGAAGGTCATGAGGACCACCACATAGGTGTATACTTTCTTCATAGGTCTTCCTTCAGGTGTGTTCCTCACAATCCATCTCATTGCGGGGCGTCCTATCGAAGTCACAACTGTCACGAAAAGAACGTATTTGGTGACAGTGTACATGGCAAGTTGAGGTCCCTTTCCCGCAGAATGATCATGAGAATCGGTTCTAAGGCTGCTTACAACAGCAGTGCCTAACCCTGACACAACTGTGCCTGTCACATCCATAACAAGAGCTGATGAGAGTGCCAAGCGTCCAAGTTCAGAGTTCAAAATCTCCAAATCAGAGAGAAGAGAAGCTACCACTGTGAAGGAACACCCTGTCTGCGATATTACTACCACCGGGAGTCTTCCTCCATCAAACTCTCCTAGGACTTTTTGCCAGTGCCCCATGAAGCTGTAGCACAGTGACAGACCAACAAGTGATGGAATCATCAAGGAGGAAAGAGCAATTGCCCAAGCTTTCCTCCCAGTTCTCGTTATCATGCTAAAATCCATGTTCACCCCATTCAAAAATAGAAAGAATGTGTACCCCAATATTGACACTAGGTTCAACAAGTCTTCACTGCCGTAAGGGAACAACTTGTTTTTCTGGCTTATCAAGGCATCTATCTTGAGAGAAGGACCTAAAACAAAACCAGCCTGCAATTTTGAGACATATATATATGTCAATGCTTCTCATGACAAGCAAATGAACGTGAATAAAATATAAAAATATATATCATATATTAAAGTCAGGGTTATATGCAATTCTTCTCGGATTTCTGATAATGCATGTTAGCCCCACTTTTTTATGTAATGTATTCATAACTAAGAGAGGACAAGTGGGAAAGCATATATCTGTACCATCATCTGAGAAACGAAATAGGGGAAGCCCCAACGCTTGAGCACCAAATGAAAGCATTGTGTGATGGTGAAAATGGTGAGAATTTGGAGCTCCAACAATGGCATCGAGGCTCTTTCTGGTAATGCACCATAGTCTGTGTTACCCCAGATGCCATCAGACACAATTTTGGGTGGCATGTCAATGGTGACATTATAGGAAACAAATCTTCTATCTGGGTCTGAATTGTAGTCGTCGAACACTACTGCACTGAAAATTGTATTGTTTATGGTAATTAGGGTGGCGTCTGTAGCCATGATGAGTCCAAGTAGAAATTAGGAAGAATGCAATAGATGGTTGAAGATAATGATGAGTGAATACAGTAGATGGGGTTATGGAATGGAACGTTGACACGATCTTTTATTTTTGATTTGAGGCTATATTTGGGGTCTCTTATGACAGAGTAACTTCTTAGCATCACTGGAACATTGTCATAACAAATAATATCTGAGAACCATGTTTTCATATCTTGTTCCAGCTGTAGCTGACAGAAGAAAAAACAAAATTGTAAGTTAAAGTGTAATGTCACCCCTAATTTAGAAGTTGGAGACCGTTGATCTAAGTATTGTTGTTCAAATTCACATGAGATAACATCTTTCATTTGAAAAATTTCTTTTAATAGGGTACTTAACTTTAGAGGACATAATCATAATAATTAACTCATTGTTCATATTGATAAATACTACAACACCTAGTTCTGTTTCATTTTTCAAATACTCACAAATTTTATCTTTTCTTTAATTATTTTGTGTTGTTGTCAAAACATTAAACATTTTTATTTACCACTACATCAGATTTAAGATTATTTATTATATATTTGATAATCATTTATAAGCCAAGAAAAATCAAATCAAGCCACAAAATACTTTATGTTAATATAATATATTAATCTAAATTTTTCCTCAGGTGATGCATATAAATCTCAAATGTTTATATGGGCAACATGTATTTAAAATATTGATTTTTTTATCACGTTTTACCGTAGACATATAAGTACATAGATAAAAATCAGCAGTAAGAATTAAACAAATAATTAAGTTTACAATTTTAAATGACTTTAAAGTGTTATTAGAAAGATTCTTCATCACTATCTGGAATCATTTTCCATGTTTAAGTTGAAGAAATTGTTGCTTAATATTCTTTGTATATATTGTTGAATTATTGGCAAGCGTACCAAAATTATCAATCGCAGTATAGTATTTCGATTAAATAAAAGTTGATCTCACCAAGAGCGATTTCAATGGAAATTCTCAATTTTATATATGCTTATTAAGTAGATTAAAACAGAATGAGTTTTGTATAAAGAGTTGAAATTAAATTAAATGACAAATAACTGTAAATTGTTGAGAAAATATCAATTAAAGACACTTAGGATTGACTTCTTTCCTTATCCCTCTTTTGTAATGACTATGTCAATTAAGAACGTCAATTAACCTAACAATGTTGATGTCACCTACTCAATTGATTTCTCACACATGAAATTCATAAGAAAACCTAATAAATGTTGATTTCTCACACAATTAAGAGATTTTCCAGCATTAGGTTTAGGGTGTTAAGCAATTGATACATTCATTCCATTCCTGACAATTAGCGTAACAAATATTTTTACCGTGATCTAGGGTTCAAAATATATTTTCCAATCATATCCCAAACACCAAGAATAATTCATTCCAAAGCACAAAGGATAAGAATAACAACATCAAAACATAGATTAATATCTCAAAATACCACCATGATACAAAAGAGTTCAAAGGAAGTGCACTCAATCCCAAGAGAATGAAGTTAGACACTCATGTTGGCCATTACAATGCTCCAAATGTGGAAGAAGTGAAGAATTTATGAAGATTGGACGAAACCCTAGCAGTAGTTGTGTCTCTTCTCCTCAAAACCGCTTCATTTTCTCAAAACACATCTTCTCTTTTTATAGGAAAAAATGGACTTTTGGGCTTCGCGTCTTTCGCTCAAGTGACAACTTTCGCTCAAGCGAAAGTTTCCTATTTTTGCTCAAGCGACAAAACGCTCGCTTGAGCGAGTGAACTCCAGAAAAGAATAACTAACATTCGCTCAAGCGAATTTTCTTACGCTTGAGCGACTGACTTCCAGAGAAGAATAACTGATATTCGTTCAAGTGAGAGTTCATCCCGCTCGAGCGACTTTCATGCTGAAAATCTTCTTCCTTCTTCCAGTTTTACTCCAATTATGCTCCTTACTCTTGTATCAAGGTATTCTCGAATTCATCCTATATTGGAAGAAAATTATATTAGAATTAACATAAGTTAAGTGGTTTCATAACAATTCAAGACATAATTATATCAACTTTTTACCACTTAACAACTCCCCCCAACCTAGAATCTTGTTTGTCCCAAGCAAAGTAATTTTTCCAAAACAAAACCATTTCCTATTATCACTTTCTCTTCCAGAACCACAACATAAATTTTTTTTTCAGATATGATGCTCACAACTCCAAATGAAATATAGAATACATAGGCATTCAAGTTATAGAAACTAACAAAGAATAATTAGTTATCAACTATCCTCAGAGAAGCATGATCTCTCAAATATAGTGATATATAATCATCTCAACTCTTACGGGTAAGTGTTTATCTCATTCAATCACTTCATTTAGACAATCCAATATTGATAATTATCTTCAAGCAATCAACATTTGTTAAGCAAGACTTAAATCAAAAGGTCTTTTGAGGCTTGCAATGGGGCTGGACTGAGAAAAAATCATTGGTTTTTCTAGGATATACAAAAATATTTGAGAAATTCAAATCATATGAATGATTCTTATTTAACATTTCCTCAAGTCGAGTCTCAAACTTCATACTTTTGTTCCAACAATGATAGTGAGTTAATAATCTCACAAGTTATTATTCCCCCCTTTTGACTTCTTTTTTTCATGCTTTTGCATGTATCATTTTTGGCTTTGCCATAATTTTTTAAGCTTTGCTTTTCCTTTTCCTTTACACCTTTTTTTTTTTTAAATAACACCTCAATAATACCCGTAGGACAACATAGCAATACCCAACAATAGGAAAAATAATAACATTCATACTCATTTCCTTTCTCAAATATAAGAAGGTAGATAAATAATTTTTAGGCTCAGGGGTTCTGTTTAAGAAACAATATTATTTTTGGCTCAGAAGGGGTTCAAATGGATGTCCTATAATTAATGTAGGGTTGGCTATTTGACTTTGGGTTATATCTATTACAAAGAAAAAATGTCTTTATCATTTTCAAGTCTCGCCAACATGCAATCACATCAAAGAATCAACCAATAACAGTTATCATAAAGTGTTGACACTCAATTTGAACTGTTTGTGGTCTCTATTCACCTGGGTTTTTAGTTAGCTTCTCCGATTCAGTTAATTCCTACTTCTCCCCGTCAATTCCTTTTTCATTATCATACTCAATATCCCAAAATCACTTGTTATTGGAAACAATCAAAATGGTTTTCTTCAAGTTCCAGATTTGAATTAGACAATTACAATAATTTCATAATTAGCTCTAATCTAAATTGTATGGGACAATAATTTAATCACATCAATTTAAAACATTCACCACATTAAGTGTCAATTCAAATATTCAAAACAAAACAAATTAAAATAATAATAAAAAACTTAAAAACATCAAATTAACAAAACAAATAACTTAACACACAAAAAAACTTAAACTTAAATTAAATTGTTGCCTCCCTTTTAGTCTTCTTCACTTGCTGATTCTCCTTCTTCTTATGCCTCCGCCTCAGTTGCAGACTTTCTCACCCCCTCCCAGAAAAGTCGGACTGTCCCTAGGCCATTGAAGTAAGACTTCAAAGTCTTGAGGAGAAGTTCACTGTGTACCTGGAGCAATCTTGCAAAGAAAGAACCTAAGGAAGAAAAATGCACAAAAAACTTAAACTGCAAGAAGGAAAAAAAAACAAATTCAAAACATTGGGTTGCCTCCCAGGAGCGCTTGTTTAACGTCTTCAGCTTGACACCTATTTGCTTTAAGGTTCATCTAAGTAGATAATGAGGTGAAGCTTATCCACTGCATCTCCCAAATATGCTTTAATTCTCTGCCCATTAACTGTCCATATTCTTCCTGTTGTTGGATCTTCCAATTCCACATCACCATAAGGCCTAACGGATCTTACCACGAATGGACCTGATCATTTGGATTTCAGTTTCCCAAGAAAAATTCTTAAGCTTGAATTAAACAATAATACTGACTGGCCTGGATGAAAATATCTTTTCAGAATTTTCTTATCATGATATGCCTTAACTTTCTTCTTGTATAACTTGGATGATTCATATGCATTAAGTCTCATTTCTTCTAATTCATGCATCTGAATTTTTCTTTGCTCTGCTGAAGCTTTTGGGTCAAAATTTAAAAATTTTAAAGCCCAATATGCTTTATGCTCCATTTCCACTGGAAGATGACATGACTTACCATAAACAAGTTTAAAGGGAGATAACTAGTAGAAACTTTATATGTAGTCCTATAAGCCCAAAGCGCATCATCTAACTTTATTGACCAATCTTTTCTTGAAGATGAAATAGTCTTTTCTAATATATTTTTTTTATTTCTCTATTTGAAACTTCTGCTTTCCCATTAGTTTGTGGATGACAAGGTGGTGCAACTTTATGTTTGACCCCATAATGTTCTAAACATTTATGAAGTTGACTATTGTAGAAATGTGATCCTCCATCACTGATTAGAACTCTAAGAGTGTCAAATCTACAAAATATATTTTCTTTAAAAATTTTATCACAGTTTTGGCATCAGCTTTTACAGTAGCCACTGCTTCCACCCACTTTGACACATAATCTACTGCTACCAAGATGTATTCTTTAGAGAATGAGGATGAAAAAGATCCTACAAAATCAATTCTCCAACAGTCAAAAATTTCTACTTCCAACATGATATTCAAAGGTATTTCATTTCTTCTTGAGATACTTCCTGTTTTCTGACAATAAATACATTGTTGTGCAAATTTGTACGCATCTTTAAATAAGGTAGGTTGGAAAAAACTAGATTGGAGAACTTTTGCAGCAATTCTAACTCCATTAAAATGACCCCCATAAGGAGAACTATGACAATGCCAAAGAATATTTTTGGCTTCCTTGCTTGTCACACACCTCTCAGCAAGTTATCACTTCCTATCTTGAAAAGGTAAGGATCATCCCATACAAAATAATGGGCATCATTAAATAATTTCTTCTTTTGGTGCCAAGTATATTCTTCTGGAACAACTTTTGCATCTTTGAAATTT